GCAGCGACCTCCCGGGCCCCTCTCCCTGCCGCTCCCCGTCCCTCCCCGCAGCAGCTGCTGCAGTGGGGCACTCGGCCTGCCTGCTGCTTCTGTGCTGAATAACTCAAATCCAGGGTGAGGTTACCTTGAATCACCTGGCAATGACATACGGCTCTAGAAGACAATTCATGCGTTTCAAGCAAGTTCTGACAAAGAGATTTGCACCACTCTTACGATGACTGCAAAATCAAACAGTGATCCGTACAATGCCTGAAAACAAACATTACTGGATTTGTCGGAACAAGATATGCCAACATTGTTCGTGCACAGCTCTTATGTGCCCTTTCAGGCTATAGAAACACATAGAAATGCATGTCTCTTACATCAGCCGCTTCCTTCAGAGATGCAACCGTTTAATGATAGGTGGGATGTGCCCAGGGGAGGAGCTGGGGTAGAGTATGGCACAGTACTCCACGGTGACGTGGATGATTAAGGTGTAGGCCACTGCCCCCTCCATCAAACTAAGATTTTCCCAGCTGGGCAGTTGCTGTTTCTCTTCTCAGAAACAGCGCTGGGAAGCGAGGAGTGCTGGGCAGGAGGCACTGCAGAGCTCCCTGGCACAAAACTCGGTTCCCCCTGGTCCAGCTCTGGAGAGCTGTCCTGGTGTCTGGGGCTCTGCTCTCCCTGGCTGTTGGGCTGAACCTGCGTGGGAGTGGGGCTACGGAGAAACAGCTTCAAGCCCAGGGGCCTGCATTTGTAAGAGGAATACAGCTTTAAGAACACTGCATGGAAGAACTCCTCTTAAAACCCCTTTGTATGTATTTCTTTAGTTTCTAGATAACTAGGAAATGGCCTGTATGCTTTGATTTGGGATCTTAACCTTCTTTCTTCAGTCCCCAGTTGGGCAAGTAACAGCTGCAGTGATGGCTGCCATTCATGCTGGGTACTGCCGCTTTGACTGTGCCTATGTGTACCGGAATGGGAGTGAAGTTGGGGAACGGATCCAGCAGAAAATCAAGGAAGGTGTTGTGAAATGAGAGGACCTTTCCTCGTCAGTAAGGTGAGGATCTGATGACCTAGGATCCTGGGGAAGGCCTGCTTTGTGTAGAACGTGTTCAGAGGAGGAAATTCAGAGCGGTGGGGAAAGGCTGTGTGCAACAGCATGGAGTCATTCAGAACATAATTCAGGTCAATACTGATGGAAGCTTCTTTTTGTCACCTTATCTTGTAGAGAGTTATCTAAGATATGCTCCACATCCTCCATTTTCATGGGACTGTTCAAAATATGTATTAAGCTCAAATGGTCCCAGAAGGTGTGCAGGTTTTTTCCCCTGCTTATGCAGGTAATTCTGTATTTGGCTCACCACTGAAATTACTAACTTAAAAAGAGCTCTTTAACCCATATCTGCCTGTAATAAGTGGCTTTTACATGTCTTGACTAATGGAACGGGATCAGTTTTTCAGTTTGCAACCCTGTTTGATCACATATGCCACCTCTGCACATACTGCCCTCGGTATCACAGGCCAGTCCTGCTCACAGAGCAAGCCCCCTCTGAAGAGCACTAGGATGGCCTCGTTCCACATCACCTTCCAAAGGAGACAGGTAGCCTCCTCTCAAGAACAGGACAGAAGGATTACAAGAGCTTTAACCCAGGAGGTCATGGTGTGCTTTGGCTTTTTGTCTCTAGCTACGGTACACATTTTATGAAAAACCTCTGGTGAAGGGAGCGTGCCAGAACACTCTTGCCATCCTGAAGCTGCATTACCTGGATCTCTACCTCATGCACTGGCCTCTTGGGTTCAAGGTACAGTAACAGCAATGTCCTTGGCTTTCCCTCCTGGAGAGCTCCTCAAAACCGCCAGTGACGCTTGCAGCACTACCGCTGCTCCAGTCCAGAAAGGCCACGTGTCTGTTGTGTGTACCAGCACTGCTCCGGTGCTGCTCATTCCGCTTTAGACTGGCCACGTGAACTGGGCTCTTGATCTCTGGCCCTGAGAGTGCTGCTTGGACAGTGTCCTCTGCCCTTTTGATACCGGAGATGTAGACCTAGCACTAAGACCAGGCCTGCCAGCTGCAAGCATGAGTTGTGCTGCTTTACTTTTGGCTGTGCCTTGTCTTCTACAAATCCCAAGTATACTCATCTTGCCAATGACTTAGCCTCCTACTTTGTGGGAAGGAAGGCTGTACTTTGCTGCCTGACAGAAATTCTTTCCTCTGCATGTTACAGAATCACAGAGCGAAGGAAAATGCTTCTATTTTCCATTTCTGTCTTTAATCACTGAGTCCTTAATACAGTACAGATTGAGCTGACCTTTGCTGTAGGAGCCTTAGTGTTGTTCCATAGACCTTGGATTTCAAAAGGTGAGACTTTCTGACATCCAAGTTTCATACTTCACGTACTTCAAAGGAGCTGATGTCTCAGTCTATTTCTAGTCTTAGCTTTTCCTTTCTGCTATAAACAGGTTAAGACCTTCATCCTATCTGTTGCTTTTGAGCTTATCAACTGTTTGTCATACTTTCAAAGCTGTCATGGTTAGTTTTATGTCAACAAAGCCCTTGAGTATTATGTCATGGCATAATACTCTGACACCTGCACAACATACTAGGTGTAGAGCAATATGGAGATGTGGGGATCTAGCCCTCTTCTGATATGTCTGAGATGTTCTGATTTTCCTAGCGCCACCAACTTAAACTGAGGCTTCCCTCACAGGAGACCTGTTTGTGTACATAATACGCTGTCCAGTAGATGTGGCTCACCCTAGACCTAACTTAAATGTCCTTCAGACCTAAACAGGTCCTTATACTCTTCAGAAAACAAATCTTAAAAAAAGCAGTTCTTGGTCTCCCTTAATAGGCATGATAGAGGAGTAGAGCAAGCTTGTTTGTTCCGCTTTGTTCCACAAGTGGTGTGACTTGTTTACGTGCATGTGTTTTGGTGAGTCACCACTCTGCTGGGTCCAGGAGATACACCTGTCCCTCCTACTAGGAATGGTTGCTGGCAAAATGCCATAAACCTGCATGAACAACGTAGACAAGTATTAATATTTTCTGTACGAGGAGTTAAAGCCATCACGGTCCTCAGTTGTCTTGGTATTAACTTCCCACCAAAGAGTGTTTCAAGCATTTTCTTTGTCACTGACAGGCAGGGGAGGAGCTGTTTCCCATAGATGACAAAGGCATGTCAATACCCAGCAACACAGATATTCTACATACATGGGAGGTAAGTTCAGCCACAGTGGGAGGACCATGTTTTCTGTCTTTGGCAGTCTTTTCCATGCTTTCATTACCTTCAGCAGCCACAAAGTTCTTATGTATTTATCTTAAGGTATACAATGTAGCTTTTCAAAACATACATGCTTAGTCAAGCTGATAATCTTCAGTGGAGCTGCAGACCAGATTGCTTGACTGTAATAACCACAGAACTGTCTTCACCACAGTTCTTAAACTGTTCAAATACACTTTGCAGGAATAAAGATATTTTAGGCTGTAATCTTGCCTACAGCCTGGGGTAAAGTGCTCCAGCACTGGCTCGATAGCACGTTATTATAATTATTTTCCACATGTAACTAACTTGGTGTTTCTACCATCTCAAGAAATGAGCCTTTGGGCTTCGGTGAGATGCAAGACATGGCACAAATACACCAGTGCGCACTTTTTCTCCCCAAGAGACAAACTTCGCAAGTCCAAACAGTTGTCTTTCCCTTCCCATGAAGGGAAACAAGCCATACCAGGAAGAATATATTCAGCCCCCTACTGGATGCTGACTTTGCTCCCCTTTGTGTTAGGCCATGGAAGAGCTGGTGGATACCAAAAGCCATTGGTATCCCCAACTTTAACCATGAGTAGATTGAAAGAATCTTGAACAAGCCGGGACTGAAGCACAAGCCTGCGAATAACCAGGTAAGCTGCAAAGTGACAGCAGGTGAATAGTTTTCAGGGATTATAAAGATCTGATCACAGTTGAATGAGGAGATAGAAAAAGGGAGAACAAAGTAGATACCAGCGTGTTAACACCCTATGATTATTTCTGGGTACACAACGAGGATGCTGTAGATCTCCTGCATCCTGACAGGGGATTAAGCTGTGGTACACAAATTACAACCGTAACTTCTTGAAATACCTTACTTGTTCTGTTATTAGTAATAGCATCAATCTGTTATTAATAGCAGATAACTGTTCACCCAACACATGCATTTCTTCTCATGCATGCACATATGCATGCACAACTCAGTCACCCATTCAGACTTTGAGTTGACGAAAGAGGAGAGGGCAACTATTTTCAGCTTTAACAGCAATTGGAGAGCATACACAATGAGCACATAAGTGGTAGCATTCAGTATTTGTTTTTTCCAAACCCTTAAGTTATGAACACTATATACACAGAGATTTTGCACCTAAACATTGCCTAGAACGCTGAGAGTCTGCGTCACTGACAAAGTGACTTGGGTGTTCCCAGTGTACAAATGGCACACACTATCCAGGAAAACAAATATGGAACAAATCCTTTCTACAATTATATAGTTCAGATACTGCCTTGGTGGCTCCTCTAAGCACCTGCTACACTTGATGATATATTAAAATAAATTAAAAAGAAATGGCTGAAATTAATTCCTTTATTCCCTTCAGCTGCAAAATTCACAAGGAGCACCCTTTCAATGCAGAATACTGAAGATGGTCATATCCTGCCCTCATACCCTCCAGAGCTTAATCTGCTGTTCTTCCTATCAATTTATCTAGCTTTCTTACTGCATCTCTCCTCCTGCAGCCAGTGAAGTCACAGATATGTATTCAGTGATTTATCGTGGTGGTAATGGTTTTCCTTTTTTGAAATAAGGACACAGTAAAATTGTTCTAAAGAACAAAATGTGGGCTGTAATAATTCTCTGCCAAAACACGGAATTGAGGGGAAAACAGGGAGAAACAACTACACATTCACAGTTGTACTCCATCTTGTATCAACAGGCTAAGGAGGATAATCAGCAGTTCTGAGCACTGGAGGAAAATCTCTGAGAAATGTGAACTAATTCTGACTTCCTTAGGATAAGTGAGACAATCAGCAGTTTCACTACTCCAAAACCAACTGAAAAAGGGTTTTTTACTATTTATCCCTCTCTTAAAAACAAACAAACAAAAACCTCCATATGCAGAAAACATACGGATGCATGCTGGGCAGCATTTTTATACTGGCTTTCTCCTCTGTGTCAAAATACAACAGCATGGTGGGTTTTGGATACAACACAATTTCAACATACACTTCAGATTATTGCTAGTTGTGAAATTCTGTTCTTATGTGGAAAATTGTTACGAGCAAAAAAAAAAACCCAACCTCAGAACTTGCATCTGCCGTTTCATTCAACTGCCTTTGAGAAAAACTAATCTTTAAATGCAACAATGAAATTGAAGATTCCTGCCTGATCAAAAAGATCTTTTGCTTTGGAAGTGTAAGTAAGTGTTTATGCTCTTGCCTAGACCTTACAGCTAGAAGTGAGACAGGATGCTGGACCCCCAATACCATTTGACTTTAGGAACTGATTTCATTCTTTACTAGCTCCATTATTTTTTGAGTTTAATATTCTGCCTGTTGCAGATAAAACTGGATGTGGGGTTTTGGTTGGTGGGGTTTGGTTTGTTTTTTTTTCAAACTAAAACTTCCAAAAGAAGGTAATATACAACCCCCTTAGCCAAGAACAAAACGTGGCAGAGGAATGCTGTACAAGTATTTTTAGTACTTCTGTACAGAACTAATAGATGTTAGCCTATCGCAGCCAAACAAAAGAAATGAGAATTACCTTGCTGTTCAGTTTTTAAGATGCACTTTGTATTTCAGACCCACTCTGCACAGCTGTACTTGGCCTTTGCTCCTAAGGCACAGGCAGCTGCTGAAGTCTCTCTGCTGGGGAATCATCTCCCCTAACTTTAGGTACTCACCTCAGAGCCAGCCTCTAAGCTCCAGTCACAGCCAAGGGAGATTTGGGCTGAACAAGGGCAGCAGCATTCAGCACGATCCATTACACCCACGGTGCGAGCTGCCCTTGGTTCAGACCCAACTTGTTCTTTAGACCTCATGCACCCTCTCTCCTGTGAACAACGTTGAAATACACGCAGGTCGGCTGCAGTGACCTGCACTTCGGGGACACGAACCCTCCCTGGGACAACAGAGCCACTCGGCACTTTCACCTGCGGGCAACAGAGGGCAGCCAGCGCTCAGAGGAGACGCGCTTGTCCCCTCCCCGCCGGCCACCAGCCCCCGAGCTCCGGCCGCAGCCCCCAGCAGTGGCGGGGGGCATTTCACATGCCACGCAACCGCGGATGTCTGCCCCCCGGCAGGGGAGGCTCAGCCCCCCAGTGCTGTGCCCAAACCACTGGCCTCCCTACCGGCCCTGCCAGCTTCGGGGACCAATTCCCCCGGGCAGCACCAAATGCTCTGAGCCCAGGGCACCCAGCCCAGGACAGGCGCTCAGGGATGATGACCTACACCATTCCAACCATCTCCTCTAGCAGCCCCATCAACCCAGCCACCCCCTCCCACCACTGCCCTGGCCCCAAAGCCCCAGGGCTGCAGCTGGGGGCCCCGAGCCCTCCTGCAGCACTGCAGCAGTGGGGGCTTGCTCACCTCTACAGGAGAGCAGCAAGGCCTGAGCCCACCAACCTCTTCGGACTCTCTGCCTCCAGCAGATCCTGACCCCAGAGGGCACAGTGCAGAGACACAAGTCCCAGCAACCCAGTGACAGCAGAGCCGGGCACCTGAGCTCCCCACACACCCATACATGCCCGGGCACCCACTCTGGAGCATATCTGGCACAAGGGAGATGTGCAAGGGTAGGTCTCAAGGAATCCATCCCCAAACCTCCTTCCCACCTGACACTCAAACTCAAGCCATCAAAACAATTAAGGTTCTTTTAACGACACCGGGCGAGATGAGGAAGTATTTGCTTTTGTGGCTTTGTCACCCTTCTCTTTCCTCCTACTGGGCAGGTGACCAAATCATAAAGTTGCACATTGGGTTTCATGGGAAAATGGTAGAACCTTTTGTTCAAGAAAAGAGGCACCTTAGGACCTTCTTTCCAAAATTTCCAGTTTCAGTTAATGAACAGGTAATCCAAGAACATTTGTTTCGCAGCTTCCTGAAGGAAGCAACCCATAAAACCCTCAGCAATCGCCAGGCTAAGGTGAGACAGCTCTGCTGAGACCAAATACACATTCTTATTGAACAATAAAGGCACAATATTTGCTGTGGCACAGGGAGAGCCAAAGGTTTAGACCACTGTCTTTTCAGTGGTGTACTTTCTTCAGCATGGGTCACCCAGGGGCCACAGTGCCTTCAGGCGTTTCCTTGCTCCAGCATGGCTCATCTACCAGCTGCAGTCCCCTCAGAAGTAAGCCCTTTTGGCATGGACCTCCTTCAAAGAGTGCGCGTGTTTCCAACAGTGTGTCTGAGCCAGGGCCCTGTGGGCTTAAATTTTGGCATGAGATAGGGTGCTTACATCGGTTTTGGAGCTAGCTGGAATTGGTTCTGGACGGCACTGAGCAGCTCATGGTCTCCACACAGGTCACCATGCCATCCCCTGATACCCCCTGCAATTTATGTCCTTTACATTCCACCCTTCACCTCATTGAAAGATGTATTAAGAATTGTTTCACCTTTATATAAACTCTACCTTTAACATCATCACAATCTTAATGTATATTCATTATAAACTCCATTCCTTGTCCCTGCAGACCAGACTAGTGAAGTTAATATCTCATCAGTGTGAATGTAACACACACCACAAACCCACCCCTTCCTCAGCAGACAAAATTATCAGGATCAACACTGCAACAGTCTTAACATATACTTTCCAATCCCTTCTAAAAATTTTTCCAAGGTCAGCCGTACTACTGGTCTCCCAGCATTATCCTTGGCCATGTCGCTAATCTCCTGCCTGTCTTCTGGCATGCTCCCTCCAGTACAATACATGTAAGTCACTCCTTGACGTCCCACCAGCTTATCAGGCGATACCAGAGGTGCGGTAGTAACTGTGCTCAGACCTTGGAGCTTTCAGGCCACAGCATGAGTGATCACCACTTTTTCAGCGTCCCTTCCCCCTTGTCTGTAAACACAATCCAGCAGTCCAAGCAACGGTAGTGGATTACCTCCTTCTTCCCAGTCCCTCTGTGGGGGCGTCTCATCTGTGGGATCAGCAGGGTTAGGCCATTGCTCCACACAGCCTTTCACTAGAGGATCCTAAGGCTCTCCTCCCTTGTGCAGGGCAGTGCTTGCAAGTAGAATAGAGCCCAAACTTCCCAGAACTCTGCTTTTCCAAGACAAAAGCTGTATCCCATTTGCTATGGCTTTACCCCCCCCCCCCGCCCCAGCCACTGCAGGGACATCAGTTGCTGCCAGTGTTCAGCATTTCTGTAATTTCACTCTGAGCAAAGGACTGTCAAGAGAGCGCTCATACTCTGAGGAGCAGCACTCCCATCTCCACAGGTCTATTTAACCTTGCAACTCAGGCTGCCTGAAAGGGCTTTGTTTCTACTTGGCCATCAGCCCTCAGTTTCCCCCCAGAGGTGCCAGGGTCCTCCTCTGAGGCAATCACTTTAAGGCTACTCACTGCTCCCACAGCTGCAGCCTGGCCTACCTGGCACACAGCTTTCCATCCAGCCAGTTCAGCGCTATTGCTCACTTCTGACCAAGGGCCTCCCCTTCACCCTAAGCACTTGTTAATGCACATTACTCCCAAAGATCATCAGCCTGACTCCCCCACTCTGCTAAGCAGTCCTGGTCTCTCTGAAGCCCCATTTGCAGCACATGGTGAGCACCAGCGCACAGCCACATCACAGCAGCACACCTCTGTCCCCAGGTT